CTGGTTCATCTATATTATCGATTCTCTTGTTACAATCTTCCTTATTAGCAAAAGTGAGGACAAACACAACTCTCTCCAAAAACTTTGAACCAAACGCTTGATGAAGCTTCTTCATAGCACCCAGATCATCATTAGTAAGTCGGCGATCAGTCATGTTCATACAATAGAGTATCAAAGTGACCTCTTGACATTTGCTCTTCATTTCTTGTATGTACAACTGCTCCTGTTGATGAATACCCTGTAGACCAGGTGTATCAACAACTGTAACATTAACTCCAGGAATGATATTAGAACATCGGTAGAGTCGGACAGTGTCTGTGCATTGTTCTACATGAGCACTTTCTTCTGCAATTTCTTTTTCCAAGTCAATGATGCTGTTGATAAGTGCTGATTTACCAGCACCAGTTTTTCCAAGAACAACAATTTGAATATCCTTTGAATATCCTACTTTAGCATCTGTAAGGACTTGTTTTAAGGTATTCATGGCTCTTTGACCTATAAAAAAACAAATACTTTAGATTCATGCCACTCTCCCTGTTAGTACATGTACAACTTGCTATAAACAACAGGGCCATGGTTAGTAAAATTCATACATGCATAAATGTATTATGTAGGTACCACATTTATACATTGTTCTGCCTATGATGGAGGTGGTCAGGAGCAACCACCTCAACAAGTGAAGAACAGGTTCATCACATAGACCAATGAAGCACTATGGTGCAATGGACTTGTCTGCTGGAATTCACCTGAGTGATATGTGTTACTTGTACTGTGATATTTTAAGCAATTCGAAAAAAATATATTATTGACTGCATAGTTATAATGATAATTCAAATAAGCTATGGGTGTGGTCAAGAACTAGCTAAATCATGGCACATGGGTAAGAGAAAGAAGTAAAGCTGAAATTTACTTTAGCATCTGAAGCTCTATTCAAAGAAAGAGTTGGCACAAAATTTTTTCTAGACATTTAAAAGACACTGAGTGAGTTTGGTTGCTCCTGATTTCCCTAGTGACGTCTGAAAAATTTTCAAAGAGGCTAAATCACAAACTTTGAGCAACTGTAACTCACAAACAACGAATTTGGGACAAAATCGTTCTTTTAGTTTTTTGTTAGGTGGGATTTTCTACCTCTGAAGCAAATCTCGGCTCTGTAGAGTGAAACACGAGCTCTCACTTGGAGAGAGGTCCCTGGTTTAGCAGTTCACAGCTTTTGGTGCCACGGGATGCTACAAGAGCGAAAGTAGATGAAAGAAAGCAACTTTATCTGTTGCTAGAAGAAGAAATATAGCTCTAGACTGCTCAGACAAAAAGATATATTTTTTACAAATCAATTAAGCTGTGTGGACAGAATGACAACCCAACTGCTTAGTACCCGCCTACACAAGCGTGGCGAGTCCAACTATGCAATTATAATAACAATACATAAAGCATGATATTCCAGCGTGTATATAAATTGAAAAGGACTTGACAATTGTAGTCTCCGATTACCTCTTATTTCTTAGGCAGAACCATATACATGTATATAAATAGAATTGTGATCTAGAGGCTGGTACTTGTGTGGAATGTATCTTACATGTACCTTTATATGACATCTTTCCAACATCAATGACATTATCTTTCACTGCTCCTAACCCAGTCATTATCACTAAAATAACATATAAATTATAATACACATCAAAACAGTCAATAATACTGTTGCTATAATGTTTAATTTGAGTCATAGTCATTTCATTATGGTTTTAGCAGTGGGCTTTGGGATTAAAATATTTGACTAAATCACAGAATTTACTCATGCTTAAAAGTTTTGAGCTACAAATATGTACATGTAGATGGTATAATCATTTGGTCACTCACAGCCATTTTATCAACCAAAACCATAGCTTGGTACAAACTTGCATAAGTAACATTCCGAGAACAAAAATTAGGCTACAATTAGTACAATAATTTTGAATAAAATGAATACTTAAGAAATAATGGCACAACCTGAGTTTCCAAAAAAGCATGCTAAGTATATGTATTAGCCAAATAGCAAGCTTCAGCACCAAAATAGTACATGGCTTTTGGAACAACTTGAAAAATTCTTCATAAAATCCAATTTTGATTGGAACTTGCTACACAACATAAGTACAATGTACATGCATATGCATCAAAAAATGAAAAAATCTCACTTAGCCATTTTTTTGACAAAGTCTCTGTATGGGACTTTGGCCCTTGAGCAACTTTAAAAATTCATAAAAAATTAATTTTTGTCAAAATCAGCTCAAACTTTCTACATAACATAAACACATTATTAAAATGAAAAAAATGTGATCTATCCATTTTTTGATAAATTTTGTATATAGGTGACTTTGGCCTAACTTTTGAGCAACATTAAAGATTCATAAAAATCAAAATTTGATTGGAATTCACTTCAAATTTTTACACAGCATAAGTACATGTACATGTACATATACAAATACAGGCCTCAGAAAAAAATTATAAAAGTTCGGAAATCTATTCTTGAAATTTTTGACAAAAATTTGGCTAAAACATTGGGTAAAGGGACTTTAGCCCAATTTTTGAGCAGCTTTAAAAATTCATAAAAGTCCAATTTTGGTCGGAATCAGCTCAAACTTTCTACAAAACATAAGTGCGTGTATAATTACTTGCTAAAAAGACCTTGACCTGATTTTTGAGTAACTTTTAAAATCATAAAATGAAGAATTCTCTTTTTTCAATTTTGGCAAAATTTGGTCAATTATTCATACATTGTGTACTGTAGGACTTTGCCCAAATTTTTGAGCAACTTTAAAAACTCATAAAAATCCAATTTTGATTGGAATTAGCTCAAAATTTCTGTACAGTGCATCAATATTGTATGTCACTTTACTTACCAGAAACATTCTCCTCTTCTTCAACACTCATACCTACATAAATGAAGTAAGAAAATGTAGTAACAACATGATGCATGTACACATGTACATCTAATTGTACATTGTACATAGAATCTAAATTGGAGTAGCCTAAGCTTTCAAACTTAAAATTAGTACATAAATTATGAAAGTTATTAAATTTATACACAGAACAAACACTGGTTAGCAAAGCCATTTAAAATTAATCATAACACCTAACAAAACAGTTGATGATGGTGTACATGCATACATGAGTCATAATATACACTGTACATGTATTCTAAGCATGACAAATTTTCAAAGCACGAGGAAAATTATGACAATAAAAAACCTGAAAATTTTTCCTCACAGTATTGGCAATGTTATGATATCGACTCTATCATTATTTAAACATTAATTATAAATGATTCTATAATGCAGATTATTTACAAAACAGCCTATAATACTGACATCACATGCACTATGTCTATTTTAAAATTTTAACAATTTCTTATTTTTATTATAATTTAATTTAGGAGCAGTAGTGGCTAGCTCTACAATAAAATTAATTCAAATAATTACCATAATTTGAAATATCAACATCTCCAGTATAATTAATAAAGCTATTAATTGTAGGATACAAATCAAAGTGTCATAAAAAAAGGTACATGTACATAAAAGGGTACAGGCAGCACAAGAAATAACTATGTGATTACCAACTAAATAAGACAAATGACACATAAAACAAAAATTTAAAAGCTACACGTAATACACTAAACATTGATCAAAGTTAATGGATGTTCAATATTGACAATATAATACTCAGAACTAAATATTACTTAATTTTTACCCATTCTTAAGTCCACTGATTCTTGTTTCTGATTACTAGGAGTTGCCTTTGTCTGTATAATCTTACCTATAATTAATAAAATAAATAAACATACAAGTAAAAGGACTAAAGCATGGTCCTAGTATAATACTGGTACTTTTAAAATATACCACATGTTACTATTGTTATACTTATACTCACAGTCATTCAAAGAAAGTCTTGAAAATTGATGCTTCTCCTTAATTTCACAGCAGCAGAATTTGAGAAGTATATGTAGCCAATCATAAGGTAGAGGATGCTGTTGATGATGAATACTTCTTATCCGAAACCCAGCTGGTACAACATGATCTTCCTTTATTTGAATATAAAAATTTTCCGACAAAAACTTAGAGATTTCTTCTGCCCTGTCTTTGATTCTACATTTAAACCGTTTCTTTAAAATTACCAATGGGTCTTCCTCATTTTCGTCCAGCTCATCATCCAAATCATCATATACAGAACAATCTTCAGCATTAGCAAAAGTGAGAACAAATACTATTCTCTCGAAAAAATTGTGGCCAAAGGCTTGATGGAGCTTACGCATAGCCATTTTGTCATCGTCTTTAAAATAACCCCCCATTTTCATGCAGTAGAGGACTAAGCTGACTGTCTGGCCATCATTTTTCATTTCTTGTATAGTTGTTGGCTTTTTGCTATCGTGATCTTGGAGACCAAAAGTATCGATCAGAGTAACATTGAGCTCACCAACACGGAACGGAAATCTCATTGTTGTGCAGCTCTTCCCTTTGTAACTTTCTTTAGCTTTCTTCTCCTCAAGAATACTATTGACTAGTGCTGATTTACCAGATCCAGAAGTTCCAACTATAAGAAAATCTATATTTGCTGAGACATTTTCAAATCCAATCTCCTTAAGAACATATCTAAATGTTGTAGTATTTTTGTCCCCTAAAACAAGAATTATTTTATTATTAAAGTATATTAAAAACCTTTAAAGCTAGGTTCAAAGTTAATATACAAAGTACATGTACATACATGTATATAACTTGACCCATCAGTTCTAGAGAACAAAACTTATACAAGACCAGCCCAAGGTTAATTTTATGTTGCATTCTACAGAATTGACACAATGGGTGGAGTAACTCTAATAATTATTATGATTCCAAGTTTCCAACTACCAACAACAAAGGGCTATAAGGAACATAGTATAATGTATGTGTGTAGTGTATACCAGGTACATAATACAGCTGTTAATAAAACAACACTATTTTTCATCTGTTAAATACATGTATGTTATTAGTCATACCATTTTGTTCACAAGAGCCTGCTTGACTTCCAGTAAAGACTGAAGGAGGATTAGGGTCATCTATTAAAAGAGTAATTAAAAATAAAATTACAATTTAACTAGAAAGAATTTACATAGATAATAGAGTACACAGGGATTGGAAATGGGGTATCTCCGTATACATCGCTAGGATACTGATGCTAGTTGACATTTGCATCTAGCAACGCGTAGCAACAGAGGCTGTCTTTTTGAGACCTGTCATTCCAGCAGTGGTGTCACTATACATCATTATTTATATCAAAGGAAGCAGAAGAGACTAGCATCTATCCCCAGACTAATTTTTATGTTGCTAGCATTATTATTTGCACTGAATATTTGCTCTGGAATGAGAATGCTTAGAATGACATTTTGTTTTGTACCCTTATCTCAGTAGCGTTAGACAGAAGACAATAACTTATTCAACCACTCAATAGAGATTCATAATGTGGAGGTTGCCCACTATGTTTCGTTCGGAAATACGATTGTATCTTTCTGTAACAATAGATTTACTGATTAGTTTGAGAGGTTTGTTTTGTACCCTTAACATAAAAACCAGGTCTGTGACATTAACTATCACACCATCGTATTGCTTAGAACACACAGGAGGTCGCCAACACCATTTCTATTCAATAGGTTGTACAAATCAAAATATAGAACTAAATATAGTAAATGTGATCAATAATGATTGCTAATTCATAAAACACTAAATTTAAACTGCAAACAGATACATTGCTACAGCAGAGAGCTTGGGCAAACAGGAAGAATGTCTCTCAACATTATTGAAGGGTTAACTATACAATATAAGACTTTATGCAACAAAAAACCACCTGAGAAGTTTGCTTACCTTTTTCAACTTTCAGCCATTTTAATTTTACATACGAGTAATTAGAGAAATTATTTACGGTACTATCAACTAGCATTTTCCTGTTGCTACGGCCCGTTTCCAATCCCTGTGTACTCTAATATCTATGGAATTTAAAACATTGAGGGGCTCCACCTCCTTACCACACCCCCTAGTCACGCCTTTAAACATACATACATATATACATACAGAAATTCTCATATGTAAGGGCATGACATAATAAATACATTATATACATGTTGTGCAGTGTGTCAATGTCAATATTGTATGCCACTTACCACAAATAGTCTCTTCTCCTTGCATACTCATGCCTACGTAAACAAGATAGGAAAATTCACAACATACATGTACACATACAATGTACATTACATTTAAAAAATGTTTGCCAAAGGTTAATTGGGGCAAGCCTGAGCGAGCCTTACACTAGCAGCAAGTGTCTGTATGCTTGTGCTTTGTACACATATGTATTATCAATATGGTATCTATATTTAGCCACAGAAAAATAAAATGGCTTCAACACACAAGAAGAAGTCACGAGTTTTCTAGCACTAAAATAAGACAGAAATGGCATTCAAAGACTTTTTCAACAGCTAGAGAAATTTATAGATGCAATAAAGTAACCATGAAACTCATCTTTGCTGATGCAATAGCTACAGTGAAATTATAAAAGTCAAGAAAATGTTAGTTGTATTTCTAAGTGATGATAAAGGAACATCACACATTTTTAGGCAACAAATAAGTACATGTAAAGAAATGACTTAATCTTTAAGAAATGATTTTGAAAATATGAGTTCAATGGCTCTGGCAATCATCAGAATCATGAAGTGAACCTCAGACAATTAATCATATAACCTTAAAATTCCAGTGCACTACATGTATATATTATGCACTGTTTTGGTAAGCCTAAGGCAAGAATGTACAGGAGGAGTAAGGCAAACTTCAAACTTTCCTAAGTTACTGTTACTTGCAACACATTCTTTCCTTGCACAGCAAGCTCTTACTTGGAGAGAGGTCTCCTGGTTTAATAGTTCACATCATCTTTTGATGCCACTGGATGATATAAGAGCATCACTAGCTCTGGAATGCTTAGTCAAAAAGATTATATTTTAAAAAATCAATTGAACTTCGTCAGTGGACAGAATGACAACCCAAATGCTTAGTACCCAAATACACAAGAGTGGCGAGTCCAAAAAGTGTGTTAATAATATTCATTGCCTCATAAAAAAGGTCTACCGTACACGTCTTAATTTTCGAGGTGTACTAAATTTCGTCACTTTTGTGCTCACCTTAAATCCACAAAATTTAAACCACCTCTAGTGTCATTCTATTATATGTAGACTATGGCCAGAACATAAAAATTAGCTCACACGAATATTAATTTTTGAGCACATTTCATAAAAAAACACAAAATTTTAAACACTTGAAAATTTGAATGTATACGGTATTAACCCACGAAGCAAATTGTAATCCCACATCTACAGTAGGCATGGTAGTCGAAATATTTCACTTTGTACAGTTTGTTTTATGGTCCCTCTTTAAAATTGCTAAAATTAATTTTAAACGAGCATGTGCAGAATATAACCACTGCTTCACCTTACGTGATGATTGCTACAGCACCGAGCATGAGCACGGGTATAAAAGGGGGGTGGGCTGCCCAGTCAATTAAAAATGGCGGGTGGCTTTAGAATGTAATTAAAAATGGGCAGTGAAGACTGAAGAATCACAGAATGCAAGCACTACAGGCATCCACAAGATCCAAAAAAGACTCTTAGAAGAGTACAGACAGTTTTACTAATTCCCTATACCAGCAGAAGACTCAAAAGAGCCATGCATCATGTAGCTTTAACTAAAACTATAAAATTAAACATGGCTGTCAACAGACCAAAGCTATCTAGCTTGTTCTTAGATAGCAAGGATTGAAAATCTTCTAAATGATGACTAAAGGCACCTTTCTCTTCAGCAGACTCAAACTCGATGTTAAAAGTCATCCTGAATAAGTCCTTGATTGTCCTGAAGCTCGGCCTGTTTCACTATGACTCGAGTACTCGCTATAAACAACTTAACCGTGATTTATAGTGCTGGGCGATATATCAAAACTGATGATATTTTAATCAATATAATGCAGTATCGATACGTATCAATATCGAAAAAATTTGAAGGAAATATCGATAACGAGACCACGCCCACAAAATGGTTACATAACTTTAATATATGGTTAATTAACTACACATGTATAGGAGTAACATCTCGAAAATTACTAAAATGTATTTTCTTGGAAAGTAGATGAAGTAGCTGAACTATATGAAGCCAAAGAAGGTTTTTATAATGCTTTTCAATAATAATTGTTCTCAGAAATAGCTTTATTTAGCCGTTTTAGTAATATTAAAGTTAATGGGTGTGGCTTAATAACTTATCGATAACAAGCGTATTAGTGTAAAAATATTCCTATAATTGTTTTCACCACCTTGCAATTACAACTGGGTTCTTATTAAGACTTATGAATGTTCTCTCTACCTTCTAATGCTTCTAAAGAAGTCTTTAGACAGTATCTCTATGTTCTTTCGCTGTTAGAAAGCTCATAACTTTGTCCCATGTGCAAGCCGCCATCTTGTTTGCCGTGACCACACCCACTTACGTAGTGTGGGCGGGTAGTTGCTAAGGCTTGTTATTTCTCCAATACAACGTGTATAGAAGAAATGTAAGTGTTGACATACAAATATATATATATCGCACGTGGGTGAAATCAATTATAGCATAGATATTAGAGTAAATGAAAGGGATAGGAAACTTCCGTTGCGTGGGCGGATTATTCCATTAAGATTATTAGGTTGCCTAGCAACATAGGCAAGTTACCCTTCCCGGGCCTTTTCCTTCACTGTTCGGCGTCCTATTTCAACTCATAACTCTAAAGTGACTTTTGTTCGTCCTCTGCAATGATAATGAAAGGCATTACAGATACCTCCCTTACAGTCTGTCTAATTTTTGAAATAAAATAATATTGATAACTATGGGTAAAGTTTGATTTAGAGACCTGATACCTTCAATATTGTGGTTTTGTACCCTTTTTTAGAATATAAAAGAAGTAATACCAGAATTAACTATTACCAACTATTCTATACATTATTATGGAGGGCACGCAACATAAATGACTCCGATGACAGATTTGGTGACTGATTTATAATCAATTCAAAGTTTTTGCAAAGACCTTTGTTTTGTACCTTTTTCTTTACAGTTCAATGATTGGCACATTTAAATGTGATATGAAAGCAAAGCTTGATGTACACTTGAGGGCACGCACATACTTTAATGCATGTGACATAAACACAATTTGAGAAAAACCATTATGAAGTTGTACTATTCCATAATGTTTGATAATTTTCTTAATAAATCCTATTGTAAAATTGAAAAAATTCCTATAAATAGAGAAATTATCATGGTATGGGTAACTAGCATTTCCTGCCGCGAACGGAAGTTTCCTATCCCTTTCATTTACTCTAATATCTATGATTATAGGAACGACCTGGGGGCTTCGCCCCCAGGTCGTAAAAAATATCGATATCTTCATTTTTAGGCAATATCGTATCATATCATATTGTTTCAAAATTTTCAATATCGCCCAGCACTAGTGATTTAGTCAGAAGATAAGAACAAGAAACATGTGGAAATAAGAGGCTAGGCAATTGTAGCCTCTTCCTTTTACTGTTACTATGTAAATCAACTGATGTTATCAAGATCTTTATCATGTGTAATTGCCATTTTGAATATTTGCTTCAAGTGATGGGCGATATATCGATTGATTCGATTCTTTATCGATATAAACGATATTTTACGGAATTGATTTGAATCATTATCGAAAATTTTATGCAATTTTCATCGATCTATTGACCACGCCCATTTATTAAGGTTAAATAACTAATTTTAATAAGTAATTGCACTGTTGAACTGCAAAAAAGAGGCAACTGACCAGTTGTTAGCTCAGCCTATCCCAATAAGAAGAGAAACAAGGCTCAAGAGCATGGAAATGACTAGGAAATGATCTTCTCTCATGTCCAGTACACATGCCAAAATCATTAGCCACACCCTTGACACACCCCTAAATGAAGGTGTGGTTATCGTATCGTTAATAATTGATATTTCCTCAAAAAGTCCATTATCGATCGTTATCAAAAATTAAGAAAATTGGCCATATCGCCCATCACTATTTGCTTCCATTTTTGGGCAGACCACCCCCTTTTATACTGTGCATGCTCGTTTAAGTCTAATTGTATATATAATCATTTTTACAAATAATTATTACATATACCAACAGTGCAGGCACTGAGTATAATAAGAGTATGCAAGGCCATTTAAAAACAATTTGTGTATGTGAATAAAATGATATATATATGTTATATAGTGATAGCGTGGCCTTGCCTCGATTCAAGTAAGTGAAGTGATAAATAGTGTTTAATCTTATCTAAATAGTGTTTAATCTTATCTACTAAATTACCAACTGTTGAATCCTCAAGAGAACTTCTTTCCAAGCTACTTTCGTCACGAATTTCAAGATTAGCCTTCGTCATTTCAAGATTAGCCTTCGTCATTTCAAGATTGGCCGTCGCCATTTCAAGGTGAAGGTGGGGCTACCCGCTATCGGGCCCCGGGCGCGGGCTAGCCTCTCCCACGTGTAACACCGGTACCCATAGATATTATACACGTTCCGTGTATAATATCTATGGTGTACCTGTGTAGCAAATGCCACGTGAATTCACGTGTAACACCATTATGCCAGTTGCAGAACTGTGTGTAATATCTATGATTCACAGATGTTATACACAGTTATATACATAGGCTATTTTTGATATTATTAATTCATAAATGCCTATAAAAATATCTGGTAGGTTTTCTATGAGCCCACCCCCTCATGAGGTTCTTTTTTGATGCAGGAACTGATTTATATCATACAGTGGCATGGCTTTGAGCTCAGTTGGACTTTTTGATGAAGGGTCTTCTAGATTACTAATAATAAGGAAATTTAAACTCCAAGTAGAATCTAAGTATAAAACAATAGAAATTATAAAGTTTAATTATGACAGTTCATAGATCTATATAATTACAGCTTTCTTACTTCCTTCTCTTCTAGTAATGTGAAACTCAATTAAGGGAATTGTTTCTTTCAGTGTGGCTCCACTGTGAATCAACCCATTACCATCTAGTGACCTTTTCAGTATCTACAATGACAATTCAGCATTGAGGAACACAGTAGTATTATACTAACTGGTATAGTTTCGCTAGCCAGACCATTCCTCAGCCTACAGTCATTGGGGCCCAATGATTGTAGGCTGGGGAATGGTCTGGCTAGCAAGACAAACTAACTGGCTCATTGGGAATAAGGAGATAAAGTCCAATCATGAGATGCCATTCCTGAAGTCTTGTACATTAATGTAGGGTGCAGCACTAGAGTACATTATCAATGATCGTACACCATCAATTTTCGGACACTTGTTTTAGGAAAACTATACATTGCCATCTCATGAAACTGCAAAGTATTATAGCAATAGTTATCCTTTATTTGCGTGACAAAACTTGTAGCTCTAGCAAGAGTGCATAGAAAGTTATAAGCTCTCAAAGCGTGGTGTCCGACAATACCAATGATCGGCCAAAATTCTCAATCTTCGGACTGTCATTTCTGAACGGCAGCAAAGGATAGTTTTAGAAGGTCACTATGATAACTTTGTAGGCCTGTCTTTAAACTAACTATCACCATCCGGATCTTTTTGATAGCTGTCTTTTTGACAGAGATAATGGCCACTTAAAATGTGTCACCTGATCCCTCAATATACGGACAAATTTTACAAAAATATACAAAAATTATGAATTTTATTAGTAAAACTCCGTAAAATCATCAGTTTTGTATAGTTTTTGTAAAATTTGTCCGTATATTGAGGGATCAGGTGGCACATTTTAAGTGGCCATTATCTCTGTCAAAAAGACAGCTATCAAAAAGATCCGGATGGTGATAGTTAGTTTAAAGACAGGCCTACAAAGTTATCATAGTGACCTTCTAAAACTATCCTTTGCTGCCGTTCAGAAATGACAGTCCGAAGATTGAGAATTTTGGCCGATCATTGGTATTGTCGGACACCACGCTTTGAGAGCTTATAACTTTCTATGCACTCTTGCTAGAGCTACAAGTTTTGTCACGCAAATAAAGGATAACTATTGCTATAATACTTTGCAGTTTCATGAGATGGCAATGTATAGTTTTCCTAAAACAAGTGTCCGAAAATTGATGGTGTACGATCATTGATAATGTACTCTAGCTTCAAAATGAAAAATAAGTATGAATATCAATAGCATCATCATTCTGGATTGAGTCCGATTGTATGAACTAAGAAAGAATGAATATGAAACTGTCTATCAACTTACATAGTTGAAACTTAGAATAAGCAGAAAGATTTTTAATATAGGAAGCTGTTATGGTATAAGCCAGAGTAGAGAGCAAATAAGGATACACTTGTTTCATCTTTCAATTGACTTTCTGCACTAAAAATAAAATATCTTTTCAATTCAATGAACACAAACCACTTTCAATAAACTTACCTACTTTATCATACCAGCTAGTATTTGTTTAATAATACCTTAATGCTCACAACTATTTGCAATAATTGGTAATGGTTAGGTAAACGACCTTTATAGTGCTGGCTTTGCTTATACAAAGTTCATTTTGAAAATCAAGATTAATTTCAGTTTACCATTAGGTAATTGTATTTTATATTATGACAACCATAAATCTATAGTCAACACACATATTCAACTGTACCATATGATGTCTTCTATATTCAAGACCAACAGGTAATTAAGTGAATCAACGATACATGGCAATCATGAAAATTTAAATCAGCGTATCAGCAACTAAATAAACATATTTCAACCAAGGCTTCAACATAAAATACAATTACAAAAACAACTGATGTAGTGTAGTCATCAAACACTTATGTACAAATAATTAAAAGCTGCTATAATTATCGCGTCTGTTAAATTCATTTTCATAATGATTTTCAGCTATAAGATAAGCATGAAACACATCCTCCCTACTGTGGAGTTTATACCAATGACTTAACGCAAGGAAGCTAATAAAACAAACGATTTACACAAAGAAGTTCATTATCAGTACATAGTTCACAACTTGGAATCAAGTATTCACTGGTAGCTTCAAATGGTTTCACCATCATCCAGCCAGCAATTTGGTAAAATCCAATGAAACAAGACCATGATCCAATCAGTAATCCACGCATACTGTGAGGAACCTGAGCTATCATAAACTCAAAGCAGCCAGGGACAGCAAAGAGATATCCAATGCCAGAAATACTCTTAATTATGGTAAAGACTTCCATGTAACTATTCAAAAGATCATGCATGTTATTATTAGTCATTGTCTCATTGAGTTCTGGTTTGAGTAAGCATACAGACTCTCCATTATTCTTATAAGGTGGGTAAGTAATGAATAAGTCAAGCATGATGTACCCAAATTTGCTAATAAGAGATATAGTAATCCCTATTCCTATCCTCTGTAACATGGTTAGTCTTATTCGGCTTGAACAGGATGGCTTGATAATGCATAAATACAGTGGTATAGCAGCTAACTTTATACAATAGCTAATGAAATAAGTTTTATAAACGAAACATCTTAGGAGTGACTTTTCATTCCTCTCAAAACGGCCGAAATTTTGATAAGGAAATGCTACCATAGTGATTACAGCAACTATGAAAAAAAGAGAGAAAAATGTTTTAACACTTTCTACGTCTTTCTCTAAAAAAGGTCCACCATATTTAGCTTTCCCTGAGTTAATACGAGATGGTCCAGTGTCCTCCCAGTAAGTCAATGCAGAGCGTTTCAAAGGATACTTGTTCTTGAGTGCAAAACACAAAACACTAGAAATAACTTTGAGAGGATTCATAATGTAGTTGTATCTGATAGTCCACTTCTTTATCAGGAGAGCAGACACTATGATGATAACAAGGACAGCAAAA